GGTGCAAAAAATAAAAAAAAAAAAAAACACACTTAATACCTTATAGAGACAAAATATAAAAAGTTTAATTACTTAAATTTATTGAAGTCGATAATTTAATTTTAATGTGTATTTTGATTGTAGTTTACAGATTACGGCAAGCAGATTATCAAGTAACGCATTAAAAATTCATATTTCTTAAATTATCGATTTCAATAAAAAGTGATTTGTAGATCTCTTGCACCGTAAACCTACGTACGTACGTACCTACGTATAGTACATACTGGACAAATATTCACAATTCACAACATATTAATTTGACTATTTTTGTTGTTATTTCATTAAAAATACAAATTTGAGATTCATCTATGTACGTACGTACGGTGCAAGAAATCTAAAAACCACAATCTCCTTATAGAGACAAGTATAAACAAGTTATTTCCTAAATTATTGGCATCAATAAAAATAAATGCTTTATTGAAGTCGACAAATTTAAAAAATATTTGTGCTACTTAATTAAATTATACAATTATACGTTATATTAACTATGGAAAGATGGTCTGCATGGTGCATAATCAAGTAGCGCATTGAAATCAAATATTTCTTAAATTTTCAACTTCAATAAAGTATTACGTACACATTTTATTGATGCTAATAATAAGGAAACAACTTTATAAGGAGATTGTGATTTTTAGATTTCTTGCACTGTTGTAACGGTCGATTTTACCCCCCAGCGCAATGCAATTTGAGGTGCTTGATTCCCTTCTTTCCTATTTTTAGTCAGATGTGATTATTTTCGTTTAAACCGTACATATCACAAAATCATAAGTATCTTGAATTAGTAGTAATAGTTTATAAACCGATACGTAATCTCGTAATCTAATATTAGAGTCTAATCGAAGACCCTAGTTATTCGGACCAATTCAACACACGCCTCTATTCGACTATTAGGGTTTAGATTAGATAGGTTTAGTGTAGTATTATTAGATAGTATTAGTTGTAGTTGATATTTGGGACCCCACAGCAAAAGGGGGAATGGGCCAAAAAATTATATATTTTAATTTCATGATAATTTTATTCCAATCAATATCATTCTTTGAGATATCGAATTTTTTTTAAAAAATTTTTTTTAGCCCATTCCCCTTTTGCTGTGATGGGCACAATTTGCGTAACCTGGTACCAGTCCTGCCTTTCACAACGTACATACGTACTGTACGTACATTGTGAGCTGATAGGATAACTTTCTTGTTATTGGTCGACCACATGAAATTGAAATACTTATTATGATTGAATGCTAGATAATTTATTTGCCACTGTAAATACGTACCGGTACGTAACTTGTAAGCATACACATATGAAAACTGAAAATTTGTGACGAATATAACTATATATTTCTAAAAGTATACTTCGCTTAGTGATTTGAACTAAATAACACTTACTTTTGTGTATATATGCAGAAATAATTATTTGCGTACGTACGTAATCACAATACAGCATCTGGTATATTATCCAATATATATGTCGTGCCTCAGATGTTGATCGGCCTAAGTTATGATTAAGAATTAGGTAACGGTAAGATTAGAATTTATTTTAGGCCAATCAATGTCGATCAGTTAATGCGGGCCAAAAAAATCGACACCTGAGGTAAGCGTTAATCTGAGGCTAGGGTTGTTAAATTAATGTAAGTTACATGTAAGTTATTGTAACTTACATTATAACTTACCTGACTTAACGTAAATTGCAATAATTTACACTGTAAGTTACAGTAACTTACATATAACTTACCATGTAAAGTAAGTTGTAAGGTAAGTTTTAACAACCCTATCTGAGGCACAACAAATATACATATTTATCATATGGGCTAATCGAATTTCTATTAAGATATATTTGATTTGCAGATCAAATTTTTGAATTAAAGGAATTGTTACTCGATTGTTACTCTATCTAAAAAGGAAAAAAAACAACAGATTGTGACAATTATAGCTATCTTATATCGATATACGTTAAAATAGTTAAAAATAGATGTGATTATTGTTTTATTTATCACATTTTAAATTATAAACAAATGCATCGAATTAGCCATAGTAAATATATTTTATACAATGTAGGAAAATTATACATACGATTTATATTGAATAAAAAGGTAAATAACGGCTTATTAAAGTTCAGCAGCATGCGTGTGAATAGTTGCTTCTAAGCATGATATATCTAATTTTATCCAAATACTTCTATGCAAAGAATGATTTCTGCACTTTTAATCTGATTATTTAAGAAATGTATATTATTTTATGCATTATCTCTATATTGATATTGAAATTTTTGGATTCTTGCTATTTTGTACGTACGTACAAAAAATAATATATAAACCTTTCTTGCAATCAATTTTTGATTTAAATTTTATTTTGATAAAAAAAAAATATGGCTATAGCTGATATCCCAGTATTACTTTTAATCGCAATAACATTTGCATGCCTTGCTTTTTTCATTATACTTTACTTAATATACGATAAAAATGCAATTAAAGCAATTTTATCTTTTTTAACAATAATATGTATTGTTGGGCTTATAATCTATCCCTTTTTACTTTTCTTTTGGATTGTTCCTAATTATAGTGTCAATAAAATGGAAGAAGATAAAAAGAAAGTATTTTACTTCCCAGAATATAATGAAAGTACGAAAGAATTTGAATGCAATGATTATTCACAAGTACAAGCTAAAACTTCTCATACTACCATCGTTGATCAAATCGCAGAGTTTGGTGCTCTTGCAGGATTATTTTTTAACGTGGCCGTTTATGGTGTAACTTCTAAACTCGATTTTAAAGCTACTTGCATTGTTGACGATTTTTTAATTCTCACATGTCTTATTGTACCCATTATTTCTTGGTTCTTTTCTGCTAAAATTGTTTTTGATTTTTTTCATGATAATTTTATTCCAATCAATATCATTCTTTGAGATATCGAATTTTTTTTAAAAAATTTTTTTTAGCCCAT